AAAAAAAAAAAAAAAAGCACTTAACCATACGAAGGATTTGAGAGGATCTAAAGTTTTGTGAAATCATAAAAAAAAGATTTTTGAAAATGATTTTCACGTAATATTTACTGGCTGAGTTCTATCTGTCTACCCATCTTTCAAAGGAAAACAAACAAACAAAAACAGTTCTAATGCAGCTTTACCAACATGAGAAATTCAACAAAGTTCAAGTAAACTTTAACAATATTTTGATAGACCTATCTAGTGAATCTAAATTTTGGCCAACGGAACTAAACAGATGACTTTCTAGTTGGGATCCTGTTTTATGAAATGAGAATAACAACAGCACCTACTCCTGGGGTTATTACGAGGATCAAATAAGTTAATACGGGTAAAGTCTGACGTGGTGGACACTACATGAGAGTGCATTACAAGAAATAGCAAATACAGTGACAGAAAAATATAAGGATGCCTGCTCTGGTATTCTTAATTTATTTCATTAGTAATGTTTACTATATATTTTTTTACAAACTTCATTTAAAACAATTTTGAAAAATGGTGATAAAATATACATGACATAAAATTCATCATTTTCACATTTTTCAGTGTACAATTCAGTGGCACTAAGTACCTTTACAATGTGTGCAACCATCACCACCATTCATCTCCAGGACTTTTTTCAACTTCCAAAATGGAAACTCTGTACCCATGAAACAGGAAATCTCCAGACCCTCCTCCCCCCCGGCCCCTGGCAACCACCATTCTACTGTCTGTCTCTATGAATTTGACTACTTTAGATACCTCATGTAAGTGGAATCACACAGTAATTGTCCTTTGTGACTGGCTTGTTTCACTTAGCATGATGTCCTTAGTTCATTCATATTGTAACTTATCACAGGATTTCCTGTAATGTTCCATTGTATGTACATACCACATTTTGTTCATCCATTCATCCATTGATGGACACTTGGGCCTCTTCTACCTTTTGGCTAATGGTAAAAATGTTGCTCTAAACAAGGGTATGCGTAGATCCATTCAAGTGCCTGCTTTTAGTTCTTTGGGGTATATACCCAGAAATGGAATTGCTGAATCCTATAGTAATTCTACTTCTAATATCTTCATAAACTTCATTTTAAGATCTGAAGCAACATGTGTTTATGTAGAATTCAATACTGATATTTTATTAACATGAAGATATTTTATAACAAACGTAAAAATACCCAGTTTTTGCAAACTAATACAATTCCATATGCTATAAATAAAGTGTAGTTCACTTAAAAATATTTAAAATATGTAAAACATGGAGATTTGAGAGGCAATGATTGTTTTTTCTAACCTTTAATGGTCAGTTTTCAGTTTTCCTGCTGCTTAGAGGAAATATGAGACTAAACGGTGGCCATTGGAGAATACTAACATTATAGCCTTAGAATATGTTTTATTTAAAAAAGAAACAGAAAAAAAAAACCCAAAACTCTTTTATCTCAGAGAAAGTTGCTGTTCATAGCTAATCCGAATCCCAGAGTTTTGTTCTCATAATATTGACTTTGGACCAATTTCTTGCTGAAATTGGATAATACCAGCAATTAGGGATATTTTTGGTAGGTATAATTGGGGCAGGCTGAATTAATGACCACTGAGTAGTTCAGATATTCTACCACTGCTCAGAGGTTGAGCTGTGAGGTACTTTGTAACTCCTGGTGAGTATGTCTTTTGTGTTAATCCGGGTATCTGGAACATTTCTGGAAAGGCTGCTTCAAGCCTACACTTGCCGCTTATCTCATGGATCTGGGATGGGGGCAGGTATGGTTAACCCGCATACATGAGCACCTACTTAACCACCTCATATATCAGCACCACTGACTACTGCGTCTACAGAGCAGAAACTAAGCTAGCAAGCAGAGAAAGGATTTAAGGGTCCCATGATCCTGTGAACCAAAATGGACAGGAAGGGGAAATAGATCATCGTAATGCATTGTCATTAGCTTATTTTATTTGAAATACTTCATCAGAATTATGTTTTTAAATCATACCCTAGCAAGGAAAAAATCAGTCATGCTGTTGGTGGAAACCCAATCAGTAAATCACAGGAGGCTGTTCTTGCTTCGGGCCAGGACTGCTCGCCAGAAAAAGCATGGAAAGATGAATTAGGAAGCCCAGTTACACATTAATTTGGCAATTCTTTGCTATTTTTGTTAGACGTATCTTAATAAGATGGGTTGTATGCTGTTCGCAATGGGCGTGTGCGTCCAGTTCTAGGTGAAAAAACCCCTAGGATTTCAAAGTGCTTTGAAACTATGTGATATCAAATCAAGGTGTGTAGTTTCATTGTTATCTGATGGCAGAAATCTACTGAGCATGGGCTCCGGGTCGAATCAATGTTCCACCACGGACTATGTGGCCAAGGGCAATTAACAATTATCTGAAAGCCTCAGTTTCTTCATCTATGTAGTGGGGAGAATAATTACGTCTGTTGGTGACAATGAATGACATGATAAACAGAAAGTGCTTAGCTCAGGGCCAGATATGAGGTCAGTGTTCACCAGTATTATTTTTATGCCATGTCTTTTGTAGTAAAGTGGGGATGGGAAAAAAAAATGTGGCTTTTGTTTGTTTGTTTTTAATCTATGCAATTCCATTGGAATTAATTTCCTTTTAAGGACTACTGCCTATTTTTGCTGGCAGCTGGTGCCTAAAGAAATGCACTAGCTTGGATTTTTTTTCCCTTTTCTGGCATAAACATGAGATATTCCTTCTCATTCTAGCAAACACCTAGAGCAGTCTCTCCATTAAGCTCCGAGATGCCACGAACCTTTATGAAAACTAAACTTTTGAGCTCATCTGAGCCTATTTTCCAGTTCTGGAGAGATGTCTTCTTACTCAGCATGGTGGCACTTTATATATAAATGGAAAAGGATCAAGAGAGTTCTGTGTCTACCTGAGCATCGGACGCCTTGGGCGATGAGCCCCCACATGAAGTTGGCACAGTATTCACACCAGTGCGGGCCTCGGAATGTGTGGACCTGCGATCCAAAACGAAGAAAAGTGTCAGAAAATTCAGTCATTTGGAGGCCGGTGGCCTCGGACACACACCAAACACATGAAGTCATGACACAGGCCTTAGCAGGAGTGAGCACCCCTCAGGAGACCTTTTCTTTCCTGTGAGGTGGAGCTGCAAACAGAACAGGAGAAAACCGAGCCTTGCTTTGATCTTCGAAAAGCCTCCACTGATCTTCCACGCCCAGGGCCAGAGTCCAAAAGGAATGTGGAGAAACAGAAAGATTATAGGGCCTAGCCGGCAGCTAAAGAATGAGACAGACTCACCCCCTGCAAACAAGGCACAGTGTGGACAAACCCAAGATAGCCCGAGCCGGTCACCATAACCTGCATTTAGCTCAGTACGTTCTGGAAGGCAGAGCTCAATTACTGTGTCCTTTTGACCAAAGTGGCCCCATCTGTAGAATATCCAGGCAGGTATAAATAAGTCATGATGGTGGGATAATGAAACGGTTCCAAGGCTTTGAACCCCTCCCAGAAAAGGCATTAAAAAAGCGAGGGAGGTGGCTGAAAATGAAGGGGACCAATGGGGTCTATAGAATTGCCTTCCCCAGAGGCAGGGTTCGTGTTCTGCAGGCCCTGGTGTGGCTCGTGGATGCCTAAGCTGTGAGTTGCTTCTGGTTGGCTGAGGTAATAGTCTCATTGGTTCATCCCCCAGCCAGTGGTCAAATATTTTGAAAATCATCAATAAAGGATGGTCTCATCTCTAGTTATTTATGTATAGGTCCTCCTGGGACAGGACCATGTAATAATTCATAATTTTAAACAAAACAAAACAAGACAAAAAAATACATGTTCTCTACTGCCAATGAGTTTTAAGGAGCAGAGCTATTAAATTCCTTGAAAGCAAATGTAGCCATGGTAAGCCAAACACTACCCCAGGCAGTCTACTTGGAAGCATACAAATCTGTGTGAAAAGGTTTTGAATTTTTACAAAATTAAAATATTATAAGATAGTATATAAGGAGGTTCAAAGTTTTAAACTTCCATTAACAAATAAGAGAAATGCAGGCAATATTATTTTTTTTAACAGTCTGGGAGGCCTGTACACTACTTTTATTCAACGACAACAACAACAAATCAGAATGACAGCTACGGTCACAATTTGGGGAGAGGCTCATCAGAGCTCTACTTAAGAAAAAACAATATCACTTTGAGATCTTGATTTATTCATACATGCTAGTAACTGGGTATTTATAAAGTGACAAACAAATTAGACCTGATTCCCTCTCAATGGAACTCACAGATTTGTAAAGGCAGGGAAGGTAAGCAAGTTAATAAATGTAAAACAGCATAGTACGACCACGGTTTGTATGCAATAAATCTGTGGTAATGGTCTTTTGGTATTTCAGATGATCACAGGCAGATTGCTCATTATACTATTTCTGCTTTGAATATTGATGAAAAAAAAATCTCAGAATTGCTTTTACTAAAATGGAGAATACTGCTGCAGGGCAATGACACTGAGTCACGACAAAGCACTCCTTGGAGGAATGCAGAGAATCCATTCCAGGGAGCCTTTGCAGTCTCACAGAGCCAAAATGTCACGATTCACTTAGAGGCCCACTCAGATTAAACGTGGTATTAAAAAATTCATCAGTAAAGTGTCCTGTTGAAAGTTGAACATTTCCTAAATTGAACAAGCAAAGGTTTCTTAGTATTTTACTAGAGATGCTCTAAAGAGACTGCTGGTTAACTATGGCAACAATGTCTATTGTTAATATACTACTGAAATTGTACATCAATTAAGTAATATGTAAAATGATACACTTCCAAAAAAAGAAAGTTGTGAAAAGGGCTATAAAAGAGAAAATGAGACTGCTACTAGCGAGTCTTAAAAGAGGCCCCAGTGCTATCTATTGTAGGATGGCCGGGAAGGCTTTACTTGGAAGGTGACTTCAAGTTGCTGGAAGGAAAAGAAGAAGCCAGTCCTGCAAAGGGGGGGGGGGGGGGAGGAAGGAGGCATGAAAGGCAGAGGAAATCTATGGAGGCCCTGAAGGAGCAAAAGAGCTTGGTGTGACTGAGGAACTACAACAGAAGGCCAGGGTGGCCAGAACACCAGCGTAGGCGGAGAGGAATTGGGACGAGGCTGAAGGTAGGACAGGGCTTCGAAAGCTTTATTGATAAGTGTGGATTCAGTTTTAATCTAGTTCCGAAAGGAAGTGCTTGAAGGACTCCAAGTAGGAAGATGATTTTTGAAAAATTATATTCTGACCTCTGTGTTGAAATAGGTGGGAGCGTGTTAATAGGAAAAGATTCAGAAGTTAGGTGGTAGTTTCTAGTTAAGAAATGACAGAGGCCAAGACCAGGATGCTGGAGGTGGACATTGGAAGTGGATGAATTAAAGATATATTTTGAAGACAGAATTTATAGGACTTGATCACAGAATAAATATGGGTCTTTCAAGGAGAGAGGAATCAAGAACGACTCCTAGAGTCTAGCTTTAGAAACCAGGTGGATGGTGACGCCATTTGCTGAAATATGGAAGACACTCTTTGTGGGAGAAGAAAATTCAAGAATTCAGCTTTAAACAGTTTAAGGTTAAATGCCACTAATATTCCAAGTGTGAGGGCCAAGCAGGAATTCACACATAATTCAATAGCTCAGGGGAGGAGTGAAGGCGGGAGGTATACATTTGGCCATCTCTGACAAATAAATCGTATTTAAAATTGTGTGAATGGATAAAAACTATTAGGAATACACAGAAGAAAGTGACGAGAACAGCCCAATCCCAAGCTGTCAGTGCTCCAACCTTTGGAGAGAACTAAGAGAATAAAGTATCTCAGAAGCCAAGAAGTGAAGAGTTTGGGGAAGGATTGGTCCACCATGTTGAATGCTGGGAAGACATCCAGTCAGATGAGGACTGAGCATTGGTTCAGACATATGGAAGTCATTAGCAATCTTGGCGAGAGCAGTCTCTTTGGATCAGTGAATGTAGAAGTCAAACTCAAGTGAACTGAGGAATAAATGAGAGCTATGGAAGTGGAGAAATATGTAGGCAAATTCATCAAGAAGTTTGGCTATGATGTCCGGCACAGCGAGATAGCTCCAGGGACATAGGAGGTCAAGGAAGGACTTTTTAAAAAATAACAAATGGGAGACATTAGGGCACGTCGACTTGTGGATGGGATTGTCACAATAGGAAGTAGCGACTGGAGATGCAGGAGAGAAGCAAAGGAGTGAGTGATCATCATGAAAAGCTGAGAGATGATGGGGTTTAGGGCATATATGAAAGCAACGCTCAAGAAGCAGCAGTTGAGATCGTCCCAGAATTAGCAAAAGACACAACATCTTCAGATTAAGAAAAGCTACATGAATTTTAAGCATTATAAACAAAAAATAATCTATACCTATCAAGGCTATAGCGAAACTGCAGAATACTAAAAGACACACAAAATCCCCCAAAACAGGTTACCTGCAAAAGGACAGCAATTAGGATGAAAACAGAATTTTCCTCAACAAAAAGAGACAAGTAGATATGGAATTATTTCACTGAATTGCTCAGAGAAAATTAGTGCCAACCTAACTTCTATACCTAGTTATTAGCATTCAAGAGCAAGGGTGAAAGGAAGATATTTTCAGACAAACTCTAAAAATTTACAATCATAGATCCTCACTCAAAAAAATACTAAGGAATAATATACTTCTGGAGGAAACACTGAATTTAGTGGGAAAAAACAGGACTTAAGAAGCCATGGTAAGGAAGAAAACTAGTAAACATGGGTCAGTTTAATCAAGCCCTGTTTGTTTAAAACAACAATAAGATGACTAATTCCAGGGAACTTAAAAATGGTAAAAAAAAAAAAAAATGACATGGCAGATTGGAGGGGCTTAAAAGAATTAAATTCTAAGGTCCTTATAATTTGGGGTATGTAAGTAGAACTACTAATTAACTGAGGAGGATATTTAAGTCAAATACACATATACTAAAACTTTGAGTACACACACAAGAATGAGATGGAATCCATAAATTAAAAAAAATGCATAAGGGAAAAGAAAGAAAGATCTGATTATGTCAATAAAAAAGCAAGAAAGGAGAAAAACAAAGCAATAAAAAAGCACAGTAAATAGAGAAAGAAAGGAGAAAAATCCTTATACGTTGCTAATCACAATAAACAAAAATGGCTCTAACAACAAAAGACAGAAAATTTCAGTTATTTTGAAAACCTTTTTAAGAAATACACAAAAAACACAATGTGACAGAACTATTAAAAGAGCTAAAAAAAGACATATCCAGCAAATTTTAGCCAACAGAAATCCAAAATAAATACACTGATATAAAATATATATTTTCACTGTTAGTGATCAAGATGGTCATTATATAATAGAGATTTAATTTTACTATAAAGATATTATAATCCTGAGATTTTATGCACATGATGACACAGTCTTAAAATATATAAAGCAGGCTGGCCGAGTGGCGCATTGGTTAAGAGCTGGCTTGGGACGCCAGAGCGCCCTGGTTCGGATCCCACATATGAGGGCTAGTGACACTGCCCTCCACAGCTAAGATGCTGAACAACAGCTCAACCTGGAGCTGGGCTGACGTGAGTCGCCGGCGACGGCGTAGGCTGCAGCCCTTGCAGTAGTGGGTTGCCATGGGCTACCGTGTGTAGCCAGCAGCCAGCATGAGTGGCCCTCAAGCCGCCGTGAGTGGCTGTCCAGAACCGGCGACTGATCTGCCTAGCCTGAGAAGAGCGCAATGATGGTACCAACTTGGGCCAGTGAAGCAATGTCCTCCACAACTAGACTGAAGAACAAAGAGACAGCAACTTGTCTGTTCCCCTTCCCCCAATTCCCCAATAAAAATCTTAAAAAAAAATTATATATATGTATGTATGTATATATATATATATACATATATATATATGTATATATATATATATATATATATAGCAAAAATATTAAGAATGACAAGGAGAAATTGACAAATCCATAATCATGCTTTTAATATCTATTCACAGCAATTAAGAATCATAAATAAAGTTAATACCCTGACTATAAAAGGGACCTCATACCTAACAATTCCAAGAACACACAGTTTTTAAACACAACACGTGGAACATTTACACAAACTGACCATAAACCAAGCTTCAACATATACAAAAGAACTGATATTATAGAGACCATATTCCAACAATGTAATAAAATTAAAAATCAATACAAATACATAACCAAACTCCTATATGTTTGGAAATTTAAAATAATTTTTAAAATTTAGCAAAACAGAAATCTTAATAGAAACTGCAAAACAATTAGAATGGAAAGAACAAAGAAAACTCTTGTGGAGTATAAAAGCTTTAAAAGCACATATTAGAAAATAAAGGTTGAAAATTAATATGCTAAGCATACTATTTAGGAAGCTAGAAAAACAACAGTAAAACAAAACATTTTTGCAGAGTATAACAAAATAGAAAGAAAGGATAAAACAAAAAGGATCAAAAAACTAAGAGGCGATTTCAAATAAGATTTATAAAATAGGCAAACCTTGGGCAAGACTGATCAAGAGAAAAGGCACAAATGGTAAAAGAGAGGACATAAAGGCAGATGCAGTACACATATAAAACAAAAACCTTGAGAATGCTAATTTTATACCTATAAAATTAAAGCTTACATGAAGTGGATAATTTTCTTAAAGAATATAAATTAGCAAAAAATGACACAAAAATACAGAAAAACTAAATTCAATTATATTCATTAAATAATTGAATTTGCAGCAAAACATCTACCCTGAAATAGTCAGTGATCCCAATGATTTTATTAAGTTTTAATAAAATCTGTAAGAAACAAATTATCTCTAGCCAGACTGCTCTGGAGCAGGGGGTGGGGGAAAAGAAGAAAAGCTTCACAATTTTCTTTATGAAGCTAATATAATCTTGACTCAGAAATTATACAACAACAGTACATGAAAGTAAAATTACAGGTCAATTTCAATTATGAATATAAATGCAACAATCCTAAAAAAAAAAAAATCCTACTGAAAGTAGTGCTATGTTTTTAAAATGTCCTAATCAAGGAGGGTTTCAGGTAGGAAACATATTACCAGAATTCACCACCATAACAAAACAAGAGAAAGAAACCACACAATCATTTCAAAAATTAGAATACCAACAATCAATAAAAGTCATCATTCATTTATAATAATAGCACTTAACATACTAGGAGCAGAGGGGACTATCCTAAAAATAGTTAAGGGTATCTATGTTACACATATAATAAAAATCACATTTAAAGATGAAACATTAGATAATTTCCTTTAAAGTCAGCAAAAAGATAAGGCTACCTGCTACAAATGCTTCTAATGAGCATTATTCTGCAGAGTGTGGCCAGCATAATAAAACAAGACCATGAAATATATGGTTGGGAGAAGAACCAAGGCCATCAAGTTTGCTTAATAAAAGAGCAATGTGAAGAAATCAGTAGCATTGCTATACATAATAACTCATTTTATTAATAAAGATGAAAGACCCCACAAGAGGAGCAAAAATCTAATATAATTAGAAAATAATACAAAACATTATGGACATAAATAAGGAGATATTCAGTATTCATGTATGGCATACCCAGTATTATAAACATGTCAATTATCCTCCAAATGAATCTATAAATCCATTGCAAATTCAATAAAAATCTCCATGGTGCCTTTCACAAGACTTGACAAGGTGACCCTAACATCTATATGGAAGAATAGAGCTGAAAAGCCACAATTCTGAATAAGTAGAAGAATGTAGGAAAACACACCTGACCATATATCAAGACTTTTATAGTTATAAAAAGAAAAAGACCACACGGGACAAACAGACCAGTGGTACAGAGTGGAAAGGTCAGAAACCAGGTGACACAAAAAATGGAGACTTGGTATATCTCAGAAATGGCATTACACATGAGTGGGGGGGGGTGTCAGAGAGATGAATGATTTCCTATTGGCCTACATATCCACCTACTCATTCATCACTTACTCATTTATTCAACCCTTACATGCTGATTGCCTACTCTGAACCTGGTTGGTTCTGTACTAGTCCTTAAATATACGAAGTCAAATAGATCAGGGGAGCACAGACCTTCCTGCACTCAAGGATCTCATCTACAAGAATAAACAGGCAACATAAATAATTATCCTATAGCAGTATAATGGAGAGAATAAGAAATTCTTCCTGAGGAAAGTGATATTTGAATTGGGTTTTGCAGGATGAATAGGAGTTCACACTGGGAAAAATCGAGCTGGTGGGGAAGTAATGGTGTTCACTGGGGAGGCAGACAGAGTACTTGGGAAGAACTTTCCAATAAGAGGAAAGCGCACAGCCAAACACCAATGAAGGTGGGTTTGGTTTTTGAAAGCCTTTCTTTTTTTGTAGGTCATGCAAAAAAAAAGAAGTGACCAAATTCTTCTCTGGAACATCTCTAGTGGATAAAGAAATCGCATGGGCAATATCTCCATACCTTGGGGTAAATATGAAAATGCAATATTTAGAAGTTAGGAGAGTAGCTACCATGCTTATTACACACTGACAAAGTAGAAATTGGTCTATTGAATGCTCAGGAAGTACAGGGTACGCTAATCATGGATTTTCTAACGTGTCACTGTTTGCCAATATTTTTTAAAAAAATAAACATATCAGAATTGCATTTAATGATTAGCCTCACCCATACTTACCAACATCCTTTTTCATGAGTGTATCGCCACTGCCTTCGGTCTCATTTCTCCAGCCAAACAATTGCAAGCAGACATATGTGAATGGCAAATAACTCTGAGTGTGCCCACAAATACACATTCTCACAGAAATCCAGCAAAATGGTGACAAAGGGGAACATAAAGTTAGTTAAACATTATTTTAGGCCCACTGCCTAATTTCCTCTTTGTGATGGGCCACTGTTTATTTTCATGGATAACATATTGCTCAATTTTCTTTTGGGTCCACAAGGACAAACTCTAGCCACTAGGCTACATGTAAATGCTAGGGCACTCTCTCTGAACCCATTTTATTTCGGGTTGCGTTATTAGGTCAGTTCCCCCAGTGAAATACCCCATATATCTGGAAAAGTCACTCATCAGCTTTTTCCATTCCCTGAAGTGTATTGATTTTCAAGACTATCTTTTCATAAAAAAGAACATTTTACAAACTTTAGGGCAGCAACAAAAATACCCCAGACAGGAAGAAACTACCCCAGACAGGAAGAATGTCTGTCCAAGACTATTATACTAAGCACGGTCTGCCTGGAATTCAAAAACCACACCAAAAAGAAAAAGATGATATTGCAGGAGATAAGGTATGTTTGACAAATAGCCCAGGAATGGCCATTTCATGAAAACAAGAGCAAGGAGAATTGTTAAGAGAAAGCTCAGGCATTTAGCAATGACTTGAGTCTTTCTAAAGGAGCCGGATGTTATTTGTCTCACATTTGCTGAATCTGGAAGGCGGTATTCCCTGGTGGTTTCCTAACAAGTATGTTTTGATGGGTCAGTGTAGACACTGCCCAAGTGTATAATCAGATCAGCCAGGTTCCAGACTGTAAGAAGCAAAAATTGTTATTTATGATGTGCTACAGTTGAGAAATTTTGCTTTTTCTTATCAGTATACATCAGGGATTTTCAAACTTGGCACAATGAACCTGTTGGGCTGGGTAAACCTTCGCGCATTGTAGGATGTTTACCAGCCTCCCTGGCCTCCATCCACTGATGCCAGTAGCACTCCTCAGCTGGAACCATCACCAATGTCTGCAGACACTGCCAAGCGTGCCCCTGGGGGCACAGTGACCCTGGTAGAGAATCACCACTCTAGACAAGACAAATCACTTCAGTGTGTCATTTTCATTTATGAAAAATGTATTCTTTTACTTTGATTTGAAAAGGACGCTTTGGGTCAAAGGCAATTTTTACCTTAGCTTCTCTGTGTGCATAGAGGAGGGGGCTGGAGGTGGCTCAGACACTGGATGTTGGGGGTCCCCTAGTTCTAGCTTTTTCCCCGAGTCACCTGAGGAGCTGGAGGGCAGGCAGCTTTCTGCGGTCAGTAGCACTGGGCCTCCTAATCTCAGTCAAGGGTTTTTCCTATAATCTATTGCATTTCCCAGAATCATGTGACATTAAACTCATGTGAGAAATTAGGTTAAACTTGGGACTTTTCCCCCTTGCAAGATCAGAGGAAATACTGACCTTGAGGTGAACCTTTTCAGCTCTGAGACAAATAGCACAGTGGAATCACTCAGTCTGTGACATACGACTCCCGGTTTTCTTGAGAGGCCTGCTGAGCAGATGCTGTAGGGGGCTGGTGTCTCAATTGCAGCACCGCTGACCGTCCCCTCGCCCCCCTAAACCTGTCTATTCAGCAGCTGTTCTAGTGCATTTAAAATACGATTTAATTTCTAAAACACTGGCTGCCACATAGCTTTTTGGGAATCTCCCCATTGCCTGAGATGACATGTTCTTGTGGTAGCTAACTTCCTCTCAGGTATATGAGGGCATCAGCACCAAAATGTTTTTGATACTTCCCTGCTCAAAACCCTCCAGGGGCCCTCCACTGTCTGTTGCAAGTTTTATCAACTTTGGCACTATTGACACTGGGACCAGATAACTCTTTGTGGGGGTGGCCTGTCCTTGTCATTGGAGGATATTTAGCAGCATCCCTGGCCTCTGTAAGATGCTTTTGGCAAACTCAGTCGTGAGAATCAGAAATGTCTCCAGTCCTTGCCAAATGTCCTCTGGGGAGCGAAATGCTCTGGTGGGGAGCTACCCAGTAGAGAAAGAGTTTATATTCTTATGTCACCACTTGCACCTGGCAGTGCCTGGCTCATAACTGGCCCTCAGTCCATAGTTGCTGAGTAAAAAATAAATGTCTAAACAGTTTCCTCTTATTAGAACTCTCAAAAATACCCAACTAATATGTACAGTGATCACTGGTGCTTTTTCTCGTTTTTCTCCCCACAAAACACAAAAGGAGTATATGTCTCTGGACTGAAAATGCCAGAATCAGCCATTTTGTCATTTAGAATAGTCCCTTTCCAATGATATGTCCTTGGGACTGAAATGAACTCAATATAAAATTAATAACAGTAAGCACTTGATATGGGTCAGATTTCTTAATAGACGGTGTACCTTTGTGGGACAGCTTGGCCAAGCCACTCCCTGATGTGCGGCCGAAGCAAGGAGTCCCTGCTGGGTTTGCTGTCAAAACCTCTTTGCTTTGCACCAGGCTTTGCTTATTTGTAAAATATTTACAATGACAGTGTCCCAATATTTACGTGACACATGCCAGGGAGATATAAGATAAGCTTTACGTCAGAGCCTGGCAGGCAGAGAAGGCACTCACCTACGTGAGAACCTTGTCCAAACATTGCTTCCTCACTTGTGCAAAATCTTGGCCATGAGCGACATTCCACTGGATGAAGACATCATGCTGCTGGTCTCATGAGGACCCATTTAAAACACGGCCACCAGGTTAACTTAGCTGTCATTTTCATGAGCAAGCCCTTTTCATATTGAGCATGGACTGCCTGTGGAGCGATAGTAAATCCTGGCGAATCACAGAAGAGAGAATTTTCCAGCACACCTGGTCAGTTTGTCAGGAAACAGGTGATGCTTTAAATTAATGGTAATGGTTAGCCTATCAGCAGAATGCAAAGTCTGGAGGAATGAGGTGGAGAAGGAGATGCGAAGCTCTAGAACCTAGGGCTGCCAGGGCTTAGCAGGGTGGTCTGATGGGGTAACTCGGCAGACAGGACCATGGGGCGGGGGCAGAAGAAACCATCCCGGGGTCCAGGGTGGAGAGTTGGCCAGAGACAAACCTCATGTACGTCCCAGTTTTGCTGAAGGCTAGTCCTGGCTCCAATATGGCACAGCAGCAATGAGTACACTTCACGACACATGGAAGTGAAAAAAGAGAAGCTTCCTTATACCCAGACAGACGGCAAAGCTGACTCGTGCTGCAGAATGCCTAGGCTTGCAGATATTAATATTAATCATAATATCCAGGCTCAGAGTAGCGTCGCGATTCACTTCAAACAGAATCCAGTGGAAAGAGTTGGACTTTGATGTGAGACTTGAAGAGGAATTCTTGAGAACGAGGAGAGGATTAGAGCTGACGACCCCAGGCTGTCTACCCAGGGTTTCTGTCTTTCACACATAACCTGGTCACTGTCCACACCCAGGTGTCCTGTAGCCCCATCTGCAGGGTTCCAGGGGGGAGTTCCATGGCCAGTCACCTGAGCACGGAAGGCACCTGGTCCAAGTCAGGCTACTCCGAGTCTCTCTGTGGAAATTCGGAATTGGGATTTTGTGGCTGGTTTTGTGACATGTAATCCAGGGAGTCCTCATCAGCCATATTCTGCAGACCAAATGGACTGACTTTTTGTGCAGGGAGACGAACGATGAGGCTGATACCCAGAGAGCAGAGAGCAATGAAGTGGTGGGGAGGGAGGAAGAGAGACTGAAAGGAGCTGGGGAGGGAGAGAGATGGCGGAAGACAGGACAGGAGGGAGGGAAGTGGGGGGAAGAGGAGAAACGGGGTCCGGGCCTTCTCCCAGTTCCTGTTTCCTCGCTGCCTGAGTTCTGAGAGTCCCCGGGGGCTCTGTGAGACCCTCCTGTATAAGAGCCTCTTGTTTACCTGAAGACAGTTTCTGGGGGTTCTACTACTTGAAAATAAGGAGTTTCTAACAATTCTAATGGTGGGGTCAGGCTACAGTAGGAGGTAGATAAGAAATGACTCTTCATAGCACTTTGGATGCAAAAACCATCTTTTCTTCATAAAGCCCAGTATTTCTAAGCCTGTTTACTCTAGTTCCACTTTGAGGCTCTCATTTTATATTCAAGGCAATGAAGTTTGACTTTCCTTTGAGTTGTTCCAGACTTGTTTCTGCCCAAACAGCCTTTTCTGATTATAAAACAAAAGAAACAAAATAAAACCCACAACCGTGTCTGAAGTGGATTTCTGTCAGGGCGAATGCAAGGCAAGCAAATGATTGGGGACAAAGGGCTAACGCATTTTTCTGAGGTCAAGGAGGACAGGGAGAAGAGAGGGCTTTGCATATGGTAACCAAAAATGGCTCATTCCAAAGCAAATGAGCCCTAGTCTGATAAGAATGCAAACCAATGAGAGACCCAGAAACCGCAAACGAGCCACAAAACCCACAGTGGGCGACGGTGGTGCTGTCCCACCCCAGTCAGGTGTCCTAGCAGTGGCCCCAGGACACCCTCGCGGCCTCCTGAACGTCTAGTCCTGCCCCCCAGGATCTTATGTGTTAGAAGGGGCACGCTACATGAGCACACAGGTACACGTGCTGTCCCACAGGCACAGGATGCTACTGCAGCAGCCTCGGTCTATGGAGCGTGAGGGACGTGAACAGGTAAGCTGGGCAACCATTTCACTTTTGTCCAGGCGGGGCCACTTTTGAGAGTCACCACAAAGGAAGCTGGGAGAAGAGGAGGAAGCCGGGGCATGTGCATCTCCCTGGCCCAGATCTCCCATGTGGAAGACACTGGGCAGCACTGTAGGGCCAGACCCTCTGGCTAACTGCGGGCTGAGAGCTGGCCTCACACACTCGGATGCGGTCTCCATCTCTTGGGAGCTGTCTGGTGACCCTGGAAAGGGCCCATTATCTGGAAGGACTGAAGCACAACTAGCAGTGCAACAAGGCAGGGAGGAGGCCAACTGTGGGGTGGGGACAGTGCAATCGGAGGGAGGTAGGACCCTGAGGCCATGAGATACCATCTGCCACATGAGCTTTCCACCACTGTTTACTGACAGCCTGCTCTGGGCCAGGCCCTGCTCTGGACACTGGGGTTTCTGCAGGAAGTAAAACAGACAAAAATCTCTGTCCCCACCCCTCCCCAGGGTGGGGGGTGGGGTGTTTCCATCTGGTAAGGGGAGGGCAAACACACAGGTAAATATCCACAGCATCAGCTGGTGAGCAACGCTGTGGAGAAAAGGAAAGCTGGCAGGGGGCTAGGCAAGGGACGGATGGCAGATGAGGGGATGGGGTACGGTCAGGCTAGAGTGGATCGCTCTCCAACCTGTAGAACTTTCTGGATCTCTGCTCTCCATCCACATTCCATAGAGAGAGAGAAGAGTATCCCTGAAATGCCTGCGTGCACGGAGGGAATTTGGTAGCAGGAGCCAGTGATGTACACACACATGCGGACTGCGGAGGCTGAGAGCTTGAGTGGGCTGAGCGGGAAGAATGCCGCGGGCCACGCTGCAGCCATGATCTGGCCCATCCTGGCTGATTATCTAGACGTGACATGAGCACGTCTCTCTCAGCTGCTCCCTCCCCTGCACCCTATTCTCTCCTGGCTCACTTCCAACTCCAGGTTTCCACTCCTGCCATTTGCATTGTCCAGAATGCTGTTTCATGTTTCTATTATATCTCGTTAATGAGAGAGAGAAAAAGCAATGATGGAAAAAAGAAAGGAGGGCATGAAGAAGCGAGGGTGGAAAATAAGAAATACAGAGAATGATAAACACAAACACACAAGGGAACTGAGAGACACAACGAGTGAATAATAACGATAGAAGCTAACCTTGCCGGGGGCCAGAGGCCAGAGGTGATTTACAGGTAGGCATTCTTTAAGCCTTACACAGTCCCATTTTACAGATGAGGAAGTTGGGGCTATGAGAGCTCACTTCTTGGCCAAAGGTCAAGTCGTGGCCATGAGTACCAAGCTGGCCACAGCTACCCCATCACTACGCTAAGTAGGGAAGGAAAGACAGTTATCCAGATTGTTGGGGCTCTGGGGTTGGCTGGCCTGAAGATTTTTAGAGCTCAGCCACAAGGTATTATTAGAGTAGACCCCCTAAAAGAGAGCTGTTCCATTTACAGGAGAGTGCCTTATTCCATTAAGTCAACTAGATAAGCAGAGATGCAGACGTAACTAAGAGTTAAACGACAGAGTGAATTTTCTGTTTATCCAACCATTTTCATTTTAGAGAAGAGTCTGTTCATCTCATCCTTCCTTCAACAAATACCTTTCAGTGCCTAGGAGGTGCAGCTAACCCCAGAGAATTATGGATTTAAATTAGCCACAATTGTGCCTGCATACAGTGTGGAAAATTACATAATGATTGCATGAAATGAGGCGCAACTTGAATTTGCTTCCGAAAGCGTTTGATCCCAGAGCTGAATTTTGGTTTTTCCTAAACACACTTTCCAAAGTAAGGGCAGGGGATACGCACTCAAGAGCAGTGACTGGGGGCCTTCTGAAAGAATGGAGGAATAGTACCCAACCTGTGGTGTTGGGAGTTTCTAGCCATTCCTCTTAATAAAGTACCTGGGGGCGGGGGCAGGGGGCAGACCAGGAGAGGGCTTTCCACCTGGGGAACAGTCCTGACCTGGGCAAAAATATCTTGTTGTGGGGTGAGTCATTAAGTCAGCTGGCAGATTCAACTCTCTGGCAGAAAGCTTCTAGGCTGATTTATCAGCATGAAAACGTGATTATTTGTTCCTTGTACTGAACACTTACCTATGCCATGCACAGGACACCCTCAAACGATAACCGGAATTACAAATGAAGAAAAGTGTCAGGACAAAGCCTATTGGGAGTTAACATAAATGAAAACTGTGGGTTTTATGTCTTAATTTTACACTAATTCCAAGCAGATGGCAGGGGCCTGCGATAAGCGTTTTCTTTCTTCAGTTTAGTTCAGTGTCGTGTTACTAAAATCCCACTGCTCTATTTATAGCACTGGCCTGGTTTTGGAAGGGTCTTCCAAAGATAGTAGGTTAGGGGTCAGGAGAGGGCTGAATGAGGGTGGGAGGGGCAAGGAGTGACAGAGGGAGCCACCCCCTCCCACCCCAGACACTCATTCTTAAGGACAGTGGCACCATCAGTACCATTGAAAGCCACAATCAACTGACACAGCGACTGAAGTGTCTGCTATGTCTCAAAGGTGTCTATTTAAAACGCGGAAGAGAAATGCTGCGGTCTGGCTTGGGGAATCTCTCGCACAACCTGTCTGTTCTCTGCGTTTTCTTCTCTACAGCTGTAAGTTAGAAGAGATCACACCCAATCGACACTGACTTTTTAAGCAAACATTTCAAAAGCTGTTGAATGTCTTCCAGTGATCATTAGTATAGGTCGTGTGAGCAACAGCACGATTTAAGAAAATAAGATTCAAGTATCTTTTGGTTTTAAAGGTCTTCATGTCCCATTCAGAGCTAGGATTAAAAACTGCAACGAGTCTTCAAAGTATCAACCAACTAAATCTGCGTGTGTGTGTTTTTCACACACACTTGGGCACAGTGTATCTAGCGAGAATCTGCCCTGCGCAAACACGTATCACCGTAGGGCACAATCCCAATTGTACCTTTAAAGCCAGAAGAACTGGAATTAAGAGGAAGGAAAAGAATTTGCAAGTCCAAGAAGATCCATCCTCCCATCCATGGTTGTGTAACCAAGAATGCAGAAGATCAGGATTTCTGCCCAAAGTTAGAAAAAAAAAAACACTTTAAGGCAAACACATTATTAATGAGGGTAAAGGTGGAAAGCAAGAAAGAGAAAAAGCATACAGGCTTTTTATGCCCCCAATTAGACCTATCACTATTTGGTGATGGGAGAAGTTTCAAGAGCCGTGGCATAGACAAGGGCCTATATAATACAATTCTTCATCCTCACGCTAAATATGGAGGGCGCGACGGTTCCATTCTTCAGTTCAATTATAGCGTGCAAATGCCTGAGCTGTTTGCTTTCTAAAAACAAAAGCAGGGCAAACAAGACCAAACGAACACGTGTATATTTAATAAACACACGCTTGTCCTTATAAAGGATCAGAAAGCAGCATGAATAAGCCAGGTTTCCCTGGTCACCTCTGACAAAGGGTTATCTAGTTCCAACAGTCACTTCAGCTACTGGCCCTAAAGGAAATGAGAGTTTAAAAAAAAAAAAGGCAATTCACAAGTTGTTGCCCCTGCCTCTTCTTTTCATCCCGGGTCCTTCGTCTCCGCACTCTTCAACTTCCAAGCTATCACCCATTTGCTGGGATAAAAAAAAAAATCTCACTTTGTCCTGTCTCCCCTCTGCTCAAAAGCGTCTCAAGCCAGGCCATTTGGCACCAGCATCTCCTCCCAGCCCTTGGAAAATACATCAGGGCAAAGGAAATAAGCCGTATTTTTCTGATGGCAGGCCGCTTCCACCAGGGCTAGTCTGAAATGAAGATAGCAGTATTTCCAGTTTATAAACACATGTGGGAAAATCCACTTCAACGCCCACCAACGTTCCGTATTTTTTTTTTGTTTGGTCTGGTGAGCAGGAGCAAGGCAGCGGGGTGCTCCCTGCACCCCGAGCACAAACAAAAGCCACTGGATGGTATCTCCTGTCATCTGCTTTCACAGCTGTCTACACATAAAGCAAGGGAGTTAGCATCCCTGAAAACAAAAGACAAAACACAGAACGTGAAACAGGCAACTGTTTTCACTTGCTCAGAGATAGCAATTATTCTTACTGCAACTCTCAGCGGAAAAGTACTGCTCGGCAGTCACCGGAGGGTCTCTAAATGCCACCGATGGGACCTGCTCTGGTTTGCTTTCACTGGACCTGGGAATCCGAAGAGGAAACGGGTCCAGTTCTCTAGAATGAAGTTAACCCACGTTTCAGTGTTTCTAGGCATTGGCATCCAGCAAACCGCTTTCTGAGGTCTCCGGTGTGATCTGATGCAAAGCAAGTAGCTAAATGTGGAAAGCAAAGGAATGTGCTGTCGCGTTACTTTACCATCAAAGGCCAGATGGAAACCATAAACTGTACTCGTCCACCTGCCCTTTCATAACAGAAGAAAGAATGCAGAGGCTGGCTTACCTTAAAGTTGTGTGTCTTCTCGTAGTTGAAGTGGTTGTCATTGTGCGTGAGGGCGGCCCTTCGGACGAGGGAGGAGATCTGTGGACAGGCAAAGAGTTTGAGAGGGGGCCAGAGAAAGGCGCTTCTGACTCCCACCTTCAACCCCAAGGCCACGGCCAGCAGCTCCGGGCGTTTCCTGCCCTGCTTGGGCTTCCGAACCAAAGCACACTTTTTCTCATTCTCCAGCCACAGTTCCTCGGAGAACATAGTGCCCAGACCCCAGATCTCTCCAGGTTCCCCTGTGGAGCCTGGGCAGCTCGGGGCTGTCAGGGTGTTCGAAGGGCGGCTAATGTTAGGCAGCAGATTGAGGCAGCTGTGTCCTGTCTGCAGAGGCCTCTGGCATGTGACCTGGAAGGGCCGCTCTGAGGGATGGAGGGGGCTCTGCATCTGAATAAGGACGGGCCTGTGTGGTGCGATTTCTTAAGGCCGACGTGTGCCTGGAACAATAGCACACATTCATGCGCACAGCACCCCCAGACTGCTGTATCCAGTCAGCCAGGGAGGAATCAATGGAGGAGGCAGGGGCAGGCAGCTTTATCCCTCCTGCCACAGCGCATTGCCAAGGAGAGACCTCTCCTACTTGCTAGCACATGTCACACGCAAACACGCACACACACACACGCACACCTCTGATGTTCAAAGCCTGAGACTGCATCCAATTATTTTGGGGCTCTGAACCCCATCCTGGGCTGAATTCCAGCAGATTAAACCTTTCAACCCTGATGACTGTTTAATCGTGTAGGGATAAAGCCTGAGTCTCTTTTTTAAAAAATCTGCCCCAGCACTTGAAAGCTTAATTTTTATTCTTATGCATGCATTAAATTAGAACAGCCTGAGCACGGAATGGGGCATGGGAGAAGAGCATAACATTTCGGCTCTGAGTCTTACAGCCAACATTTCAAAAGAAGAGGTAGGATATCATGCTCCAGGATACCCACCCCCTGCCCCTGCCAAATACAGACAACCCCCCATAACCCACACAAACAACATTCCTTAACCTGAACCAAAACATCAGAATTACTTTTCTTTGAAATTAAACATCTTCAATGTCTATTCTGTTAGTGCACAAGCCCCATGCTCTCCTTGCTCTTAAAAAAAGCATCGTCTGTTTGATGGTCTCTCCTGGGACCATAGTCCCGGGTCTCTCCATTAATAGAAATGAGAAATCGTTCCATCTGGGGAGTGCTCCTGATCTGCTGTCAAGGTTTAATGCAGCAAACACCAGACGGTAACATCAATGCTTTCGCAACTAGAGAGCAAGAAGAGTGTGAATGGCTGGACTATTCCGTGGATGGCTGGTCCATGAATTTCATCCCATCTTCTATGGAGACATGGTTCCCTATTCCAGCCCCTCCAAGCAGCCTCGAGGGGCGTAACAAAAAAAATCAGTCTTTTCCTTGTGCAATTCTTTATTTCTGGCAATCACCATCATTCCAACTCGGTTCAGAAGTGCATCCTCCCATTTCATCCTCTTGTGACCTACCATAAGAACAGACAATTTTTATATTGAGCTATTGAACACAAAAGGACTTATGTTGTATCAGACGATATCGATAAAGTCATATTATGCTCAATAGCTCAAGAGTGCACTTACTCATTGAATTTCAGCTCAACTGTATGAAGAATACGACTTTTATTTCCATTTTTTTGGATGAAGATATTGAGGCACCGAGAGGTGAAGCAATGCACCCAGGGACATGCAGCTTGTTTAAGCGTCCAGCACCCACACTCCTGAACCCCACGTCCTGCTGCCTCAGTAAGCCAGTGTGGTGTCACATCCTCCACTGTGTCCTGCCAAATGCTTTATCTGAAATATTGGCCAAGTCTTCCCATCCTGAGGGTGCATGCCCCACACTAACTCAGACCCTCCATAAGTCTCCAGCATACCTTACACACAGCCTCGCAACAGTCTCCTGAGTCCAGTCAACACTCCATCTGCCCAGAAAGTGCCAGTGATTCTCCAGGACTTCACCATATCCTGGCATTGTGGGTTTTTCATGAGCTCGTCCTATTCTATTCAGCTCATCTACACTCTCCCCTTGACAGATCCTATAAAATCTCTTCTCTGACACGCTCAACTTCTCACTTCAGTAGCTTGCTCGGTCCTTGAGCATATTCCAGCATCATTTCAACATCCACATTTCACCAGCATTCACATTCTAACTCACATGGCACCCTCTCCAAAAACACTTCTCTGGGGGCCGGCCAAGTGGCTCAGTTGGTTAAGAGCGCGAGCTCTGAGCAACAGTGTCACCGGTTTGATTCCCACATGGGCCAGTGAGCTGCGCCTGAGCTGAGCTGCCGCTGAGCTGTCAACAGGTGGCAGGATGGCTCACCTGGTGAGAACACGTGCTCCTAACAACAAGGTTGCTAGGTTGATTCCTTCAGGGGATGGTGGGCTATGTCCACCTGCACTAAGATTGAACATGGCACCTTGAGCTGAGCTGCCCTGAGCTGCCAATGGGCAGCCAGATGACGACTGGACTTGGAGCTGAGCTAGCTGCACCCTCCACAACTAAGACTGAAGGACAACAACTTGGATGTTCCCCTTCCCCAATCCCCCAATAAAATCTTAAAAAAAAAAGACTTCTCTGAACTTCCCACTGGAAGCAAACTCTCTCCTTTGAAATCCCATAGCGCTTTTTTTCCCACAGTGTTCCTATTGCACTTATCACTCTCTCTCTTATATTAGAGTGATTTATAACAGGTCTATCTCAATATCTGCCACATTGAGAACTCACTGTGACATGTGCTATGTCTAATTCACCTTTGTCTCCCCTATAAGAGTGTCTAATAAAATTCCTTGCTATAGGAGACACTGATAAACAGAAGTCGCCAGAAAGTACCTGCACATATGGGAAGCTCGAGTTGTGGAGGCAGGTGTGCAAAGGTGACCATATGGGGTGAAGTCTCCTGTCCCATCCTACGATCCCTCACTGCTATGCTTTAGCTTCCAAGAACCTGAGCGTCCAAGGGTCCGTCCTCATGATGGACTCCACCAGACTCCTTAGCCTTCCTTCCCACTGCCCCATCCTAAAGGACAACTGCCACTCACAGAGGTTGAGTGAAAGCATGGTATACCTTGGAAAGGCTTCGAATCCTTAGCCTAAAGGCAAAAAAGACAGACAAGAGAAATAAGGGTCTCTTCTCAAACCATCACTGCCAGCAAATCAAGAGACCTTTTGATGGTGAGCCATTCTGTGGAAGAATGAATTCTGTGATCTGAACTTGGCTAATTCCATGGATACATGCTTTCAAATCCAATACAATAATTCTTTAAATGGAAAGTGGGCAAAAGGTCTCCTTTTCCCTTTTCGTATGTTGGCTGGTGAATACAAGGAGATTTAATCTTTTCTCTTGTGCCTGTGCCTTTACTTAACAAGTAATTTTTATTTCTATTGGTGACAGCGATTTCTTTCTCAGATGTTTGCTCCATAGAATTTACCCAAACACTAGACACATTCAGGCTTGCAAAGGAACTACAGGCAGTTCACTTCAGATGTGTCTTCACAGGGAACCAGCAGTATTGGTATTGAGTGAGCATCACTGTGACTGGTGTGGATGACCTCAGATGGCCCTTTTCTTAAAGGGCAAAATGATTACAGATGTGTCTTGGCAAAACTCCTCTCTTAAACAACTCCATCACACGGAGCTCTTCTTTAGCCAAGTGTCTCAAGGACAGCGCCTTGGTTCCTTTCATTGGATTGTTGGAAAAGTCATGACGCATTTTTGCAATGAAAAACATAGAAAAATACGCCATGACTTTTCTGACAACCCAATATATCCTCACAAAAACTAACATGTTCTTAGACATGTGGACATTGAATACTTTTGCCGACTGTCTTTTTCTAACAAAATTTCCTATCTGACCGATTGTTATCTATACATTCATCAGATGAAGCACATTTCCCTACATGCTCTGTTTAAATCGGAGATTCTCAATGTTGGAACTATTGACACTGGGGACCAGATAATTCTTTGTTGTGGGAGGCTGTGCAATATACATGTTTAGCAGTGTCCCTGGCTTCTACTCACTAGATGCCAGTAGAGCCCCCTCTCACTGTGATAATCAAAGATCTCCCCAGACTTTGCCAAATCCCTCCTCTGAGGCAAAACTGCCTCAGATGAGAATACCTGGGTTAGATGAGTAACACAAATATGTATAGCATGCTTCCTATGTGCCAGGTATTACCCTATGCACTTTGCATAGATTGACTCATATAAGATTACAACCCTATGAGGTAGGTTCTGTGATAATTATCCCCGCTTTATAGATAAGGAAATGGGAAAGGCGGGTTTAAGTGACTTGCCCAAGGTCACACAGATGGTCAGTGGAAGAGCTGCGATGAGAGTCCAAGCACAACTAACTAGGTCTCTGCTGCCCGCCCCCAAGAACAAGTTTATTTTTTTAATTGTAGTAAAATACATGTAACATAAAATTTACCATTTTAACCATTTAAAAGCATACAATTCAGCAATTCAGTGGCATCAAGTACATTCATTGTTACCTCTACTTCCAGAACATTTCCATCACCCAAAATGAAACCCCGTACCCACTAGGCAGTCATTCACCATTCCTCCCTCCCTCCAGCCCCTGCCAGCCACCAATCTGCTTTCTATCTCTGCACTTGCCTATTCTGAATATTTCATATAAGTGGAATCATACAACATATAGCCTTTTGCATCTGGCTTCTTTCCCTTATCATGTTTTCAAGGCTCATCCATGCTGTAGCATGTATAAGTACTTCGTTGCTTTTTTATTGCTGAATGAAAATCCATCGTTAGGGATAGGACATATTTTGTTTATCCATCCATCAGCTGATGGAAATTTGGGTTGTTTTACCTTTTGGCTACTGCGCATAGTGCTGCTAAGAACATTCTTGAACAAGTTTTTGTTTGAACGCAAGTTTTCAGTTCTTTGGAAATATACACTAAATCTATACTTTTAACCATGCTCTACACTGCTTCTCATCCAAATAATGTTCACATTAAAAAATATTCAGGGGTTAGGTGCCAGAATCACTCTCTTCCCCACTGGTAACCTGTTAGCAACCCACAGGGCTGGTGTTCCCTGGTCTGGTTCTTAAAAAGGAGACTTTCGTTCTCACCGGCACCTCTCCCAAATCAGGCACCGCTGAAGTTCCTTTGGGAAGTAGGCGGGACTATAAATAAATGGTGCAAGAAGCTTACCGCTTCCCTTTTCCTGTTTTTATAAATAACGGTTGGGGTTCTATTTTCGGTGGCCTCTCCCTGTTCTTCTTTCTCTGTGATGAGGATCCTGAGTCCAAGAAGGAATCAGGTACCAAGAAGGCAGTGCAAGGCTGTCAGGTGAAGATACGGAGCGGGAGATGGGCCAGTGGGCAGGCAGACATGGGAAACGAAGCCCGTTGGGGTGACTGCATACATGTAAAGTGCTCGGGAAAAGGGGACAGTGGGAGAAAGAGGAACACCCTTCCCCCTGTGCTGACCTAGCATCGTAAGCCCAGAGGGGACCTCAGATGTTCATCAAACCAATGGTCCCTTCTCGGCCTGGCTCAGGCTGGCCCACGTCTGGGGATGACGTCATTCTGCCTTTATTAGTACCAATTTCCAGAAAAGGTGATTTACCATCAACCTGCAGTTCTTCTACAGACTTCAAGTAAACTCCAGTTCTGTGTTTTAAAGAGGGCTCATTGAAAATGTCATCATTAGTCCCTAGAGAGTGTTCCCCCGCTTTCCCACCCGAGTCCTTGGGATCCTGGGGTCCCTTTCACTTCTGTCTCTTGAGTCTGAGGTCCCCTTAGGTGTTGAAAGTCCAAACAATACCCCTGCTACAAACACCACCCTGTAGCCGTGGGCATTTGCTACACCGTGGCAGTATATGGAATGAAAGCCAATATTCCTAGGGCTGGCAAGGGTGTCATGAGGAGAGCTCTCTAATACATGGCTGACATTTCTATGAAGTGGCTTGTGTCTGGGGAAAATGTTAGCCATGTATCAAATGCCTTGTGTGCATTGATCCAATTATTCTATTAATAGGATTCTGTTAAGAAAAATCTTTAGACAAAGAATTAGGTAGGTAGGTAGATAGATAGATAATAGACAGGTAGATAGCCATCATAACAATAATAACAGGAAATGAGAAAAGGCTTACACATCCAAGATATGGGACAGGGTAAATAAATTATGGGATAAATAGGTAATGGAATATTATATAGACAAAACCAAAGATGATTCAAGTCACTCTCACTGATGAAGGGATATGTCCCTGATATAATGCTAGGTAACAAGTGGGCTCCTAAACCATATATAGTATGAATCCCAGTTTTGTAAGTAGATGCACACAGTAAATAGAAGAAAACAGACCAAATTACCTCCTACACATCGAAACTGTTGGAGATAAGGCAACAGTTATCTCTGGGTGGTGCAATTTTAATTGACATTTATTTTCTTCTTTTCTGTATCTTTTGAGCTTCCTACAATGATTAAGTTTTGGTTCCATTATATAAAGACATAAAGGTCTAAAAGAACATTATAAAAACTTTGTTAGGTTTAGTGTGTACAGATGAAAGGTTCTGAACATCATAGGTAACCTATGAGCTCGTCTAATCCCACTTGCTCTGTATACAGGTGAGGAAACTGAGGGTGAGAGAAGTTCAGTGATTTGCATACCTGCCCCCAACACCTTCATCACAGGGCTATTCTACAACTAGGTCTAGAACCAGATCTAGACTCCGGGGTCTCGTGGCTGCAACCCTCTACAGCTAGTGCCTCGCACACTCGGGCTGGCCTCAGGACCCCCAGAAGGCTTGTTAAACACAGTCTACTGGGCCTCAGGCCCAGGGTCTCTGGCTCAGCCAGTGGGAGATCAGTCCCTAGAATCTGGATGCCTGACAAATTCCAGGTGACACTGATGCTGTTGGTCCAGGGACCACAATTTGAGGACCCCTGTTCTGTTCTTTCCACGTGAACCTGTGGGTCTCAACCTTGAGATCATTAGAATCACCTGGGGAAAAACAAACAACAAACACACACCATGCTCAAGCACCACCCACCTCAGGCCAATTAAATCCAAATTTCTGGGAATGGGCCCCGAATGTGTACAACATCCTCCAGGGGATTCTAATGTGCTCCTAGCCTTGAGAACCCCAACACTGATCTCAAGGGCTTCAAGTCAGAGGGACCGTTAGAGAAGACGGAAGTGACATTGGTGAATGACACTGCACATCCCCTATCCCCATCAAAGGAATCAATAAAAATACCTTTACAAACACAAAGTGTGATCACACTTCTTCCACTCATGCCCACGCTACCCCCACCCCCCGGCATGCCACTGAAAACCTCCACAGCTTCTTAAGCTAAAGGCAAAAACCCATACCATGGCCTCCAGGGGCCTGTGTGTTCTGGCCCTGTCACCTTTCTAGCCTCACCCTCTCATCCCTTTCTGTCCCCTTGAGAACTGATAACAATCACCACGCAGAATGATTTTTATATTATTGTCTATGACCCCCACTAGGCTGCTACCTTCATGAGATCAGACGCTGCGTGTGCTTAGGTCATAATTAAGAGCCCAGGGTCATACCTCAGACCTGCCACAGAGCAGGTGCTTACTAAATTTTGCTGAATGAATGAATGTCCATCGCTATAAACTGTCTTGAGGTCAAAGGACCCCTGTGGAGCTTATCATCACTTGCTCTGATCTCGCCAGTTTACTCTTGTGAGTCTCTGATATGAAATCCAGGGGCTATGGCCTTCAGGGTTTCCTTCTGACCAGGTTATCACAGGTCTAGGAGCACCAGAAGGGGGGCGCTGGAAACAGGGGGACTCAGGCCCTCGGGGACGTGGCCAGGTTTGGGACTAGAATAATATTAAAAGAAGCATACTGCATTTGTGGCGTAAGTGATATGATCTCTTTCCTTTATAAAGAAGGTAGAGTGGTGTCATTCTCATCTTACAGATTAGGAAACTAGGTCCTTACAAGCACTAGGGAATAGAGCCAGGTCTCCTGCTCATCCCTGGCACTCCAGTTGTAGCAAATCAGGGGTGGTGACCACCAAGAGCCCACTGACACAGGACTCGTCCTTCCTCTCTCTTCTCAGGGGACTTTTGACAAACTTCTAAAATGGCGCCTTCCCCACAGTTCCTGTAGTAACTCTCTCTCCAGTGACTAGCATGAGGTCAACCCTAGCTTGGCACTCACAAAAGTTTTGTCGCCTGAAAAATAAACATACCCACGTTTTTTTTTTTAGTCTTTCTGTTTTCCTTGCCTTCCGTCAAAATGACTTCTAATTTTAAAAAGAGGCAGCATGGTCATGTGTTTTTCTTAGTCCCTCACTTCACATCCCACATAATATGTCTGGGATTCTGGGGTTGGGTGATGACTCTGGGCTGCATGTGATTTCCCCAAAGCCACAAAACATTCGAGTCTGCCAGAGACGCTCGATGAAATGCTGCAGGCAGTCCTTGAGCTCTGAACAGTGGTGGGAAATCTGTTTTTTCTTTTTCTTTTCACTCTCTGTGGGTCACACTTCCTTCAATACTTTTAATGGCTGGATAGGGGTAGACTGAGTGTATGCTTACGACTCAGTATTTCAGCGTCTAAAAAATATATATATAATATGAAGAGAGGGGCAGGGAGATTTTCCTTATGCACTTACTGTGGCATCCTAGATCTGTCTCTCCATTTATGTTGGCCAAGTAAAAAAACTATAGATACCAAGTAAAGGAAGCCCAAATTGCTGAATGACAAGCAAAGGGGTGTTTTTCTTATCAGTGTTACTAGGCCCAGTCTGTTTGATCGCATGCAGGCTGGACACTTCCTTATACTGACAAATAAATGTTCCTTGTTCCCCCTAAAAATTGCCTTGTTTTTGTTTGCTATAGTATTTGCTTGTGGTTTTCGGTCCTGAAAGAGAAGGAAGACGATAAAAGATTTGACTGAACTACAAGCAAACTCATTCCCATGACGGCTGAGGCAACGAGGGAGACTAAGGTGGGAGCCCGCTATCCTTCCCGCTGGTGTGCTCATTAAGGCTGAATAACCCTGGCTCGATCTGTGTCCATCAAAGCCTCAGGTGTCGATGCCCGACCTGGCTGACTCCTAAATCCCCTGGTGACCTCCAAACTGCTGGGTTCTGGTCTGAGGAGGAGAGGCCTTTGTCTCTGATGACACAACATGTCCAGCTGCCGCTGTAATTGTTTTCGGGACAGATGGCCACTCTCAATCCAGAAACACAAAGGGACGGGAGGACCGGTTTTGCTGCCTCTCTTACGACTCATTGCCCTTCATCCCCAACATTCGGTGTCCAACCCAAACTGAAGAGCCTGTGTGGTCTCTAAAATGGACTGAACGACCTTGTTTGGAAGCAAATAAATAATCGGATGCTTCCTGGGTTGAATGACTGTCAGTGTTAGGACTGAGGCCCTTCCCAAACCATTCGTCCGGCTCCTGTATTGAGACTGATGTCAACAACTGGGGCTAATTGCTGATGTTTCTCACAGGCTGCTTAGATGTAGAAACAAGAGATACTACATGTAATAGGAAAAGACACTTTAGGTTGCGTTAAGCATCTTTCACATTTGCTTTTTTTGTTGTTTTGTTTCTGTGTGCCGTTTTTCAAAGACGGGAAAACGAACAACAAACTTGTACAGTGGAGAGTCTTAATCCATTTTCTTAAATGAGAACTCTAAAAATCTCAATCCGATGTCTCAAATGCTGAGTACAAGCAAGTCTAGAAGGGTTATTTTCGAGAGAATGGGCCGTTTGTTGAGTCAAGCCACTTCAAACTGCTCTCCAATATTTCAGGCAAACTGTTGTAAAGCTAAGGTCCAAATAAACAGTGTGCATGTTAAGGGAACAGCGGCCAGCACACAGTTCCCAGCTGCTGACTTCCCTCTTGCCCTGTGATCCTCTCATCTCCTCTTCCATCGCCACCTCCTTTTCTTTGTCGTTTCCTGGCTGTCATGTGCCTCCCCACATCCGGCCAAGAAGTAGGTGACCCAAATGATTCACTTCTGGGTTTTATTACAAAAGTCAAGAATGCTCAATTCTTGGGTTAAGGCACCCAACTGTATCGTGGAACCAGGTGTATTTCCCTCTTACCCCTCCCTGCACCTGTCGCTCACTCGGCTGAGCCTGGGAAACCTCTGCCAGAGGCTCAAGTTTGCTGAATTACGCTTTCTTGGCACACAGCAATATGGCAATGTGCGGAGCAGAATGTACCAAACACAGCCTCAAGCTGCCATTCTACCAGGTTCTTTGCTAGCAGTGAGAATAAGTTGTCCCTTTACTGAAAGAAAAAAAACAACAACACATCAAATTAACTAGTTGCTTTCTGCATGCAAACTGCCCCACATTGCAAATGACAGACACCTCTATTAAACGGTTTTTCAAAATTTCATGCAAAAAAAAAAAATCTCAAATCCCCTTGTGTGCTTTTTATAGTGAACAGTCACCCAAACAAAATAATCCTTGACACCATTCACAGCTGTGCAGCTGCTACTCCCCATTATAGTTGCTGGGGGATATTTATGAACTCAGTAGTTCTAAAATATGGATGTTTGCCTATTCCCAGTGTGAACCTAAGTTCATTCCTTGTCTCCTGTGTAAGTGGGGATAGTGATTTTCAAATTCTACAATTGGACCTCATATCTGTGTGTTGGGAAGACCGCCTTATACCAAGTCTATGTCACTATAGCCCCTTCCCAGAATGGAACGCCAGAGTACATGTGACAATGAAAACACCTCTATCAGCCACCACGTGCTCTGGGAAGAGAGACTGTCATGCTTGTATGTAAGCATTAATATATTCCTGAAAGACAGCTCAGCATGAAATGACACATCCCATTTGATCTCAGCTCTATTTTAATGCAATAAAATTATTCTCAGACACATTGTTTTAAACAGTTATTTCTTTCCTTCCTTCCTTCCTTCTTTCCTTCCTTCCTTCCTTCCTTCCTTTTTTCCTCCCTTCCTCCTTTCCTTCCTTCCTTCCTTCCTTCCCTCATTCAGCATATACTTATTAAGCATCAATTATATATCAGATGCTGTTTTAGGTCAATGAGATAGAGTAGTGAACAACTGATAAAAATCTTTGTTCTCTTGGAGAGCAGACAATAAACAAAACTAATAAGTACATTACACATTATTCTAGAAAGTGATAAGTGCTATGAAGAAAAATAAAGCAAGGATATAGGATAGAGTTACGGGGAGGGAGAATGCAATGTAAAACACAATGGCTAGGAAGGCCTCACTGAGAAGGCAGTATTTGGGAAAGGAGGCTGGGGGTGGTGAGGTGAGCCATGCTGATACCTGGAGGAAGAACATTCCAGGCACGGGGGACGGCACATGCAATGGCCTTGGGCAGAGCAAGGCTGGCATGTTCAGGAAAGAGCAAGATGAGGAGGGCTAGAGAGCTGCATCCTGGGAGATGAGGCGGAGCACCCAGGGCCTTCAGGAGAGAGTGAGGACGTCTAGTGAGCAGCCACCACACAGCTTTCAACCTGTGTGTGGTACGATCTAAGTTACTTTTTAAAAGTATAATATTGGGCCGGCTGAGTGGCGCGTTGGATAAGAGTTAGCTTGGGATGCCAGCTCTGAGCAGCAGGGCCCCGGTTCGGATCCCACATATGAGGGCCAGTGATGCTGCGCCCTCTACAGCTAAGATGGTGAACAACAGCTCGACCTGGAGCTGAGCTGCCATGAGTTGCCAGCGAAGGCGACGGCTGCAGTGGGGCTGGCCAGCAGCTGGGGTGCACTTTCGTGAGCCGCCGTGAACGGCCGTCCAATGGCTGACGAGCGACTGCCTCACCCCGGAAGAGCGCAATAATACCAACATGGGCCAGTGAAGCGACGTCCTACACAACTAGACTGAAGAACAAAAGGACAGCAACTTGTCTGTTCCCCTTCCCCGATTCCCCAATAAAAATCTTAAAAAAAAAAAAGTATATCACTCTGCCTACTGTGTTTAGGACCATAGGAAGGCAAGGGTAGATGCAGGGAGTCCGGTTAGAAGGTTTATAAACTCAAAGGTTTATAAATAAATGTGTCTGGTAGGGCCCAATCTCCCCATTTTATGAAGAGCAGAATGGTAAGTTAGTTGCCCAAGTTCTCACAGCCAGTTAGAGGTAGAGCGAGGACAAAAGCCAGGTGCTTGCACTGCAGGCACAAGCTCTCTGCTCTGTGCAACAACAGATCCGGTCAGCATCCATGCAGTCCCAGGCTGCACAAGTGAAACGATCCACACACACACACACACACACACACACACACACACACACACACACACACACTCAGCCATTAAAAACTAAATCAAACCTAGGCAGGAAATTGTCAGACAGTGTACATTGTTACCATCATCTCAGAAAGTAATTTGGTCATGTGTATCAAGAGTTTCAAAATATAAATATCCTTTCAGATTTGTCATTTGATTTCTAAGACTCTATGCTAAGGAAATGAGAATAATTACAGAAAGGCATTCATAGCAGCATTATTTCTAACATTAAACACAGACTCTATCATGCACGTGCTAACATCAGGAAACAGCTGAAGAAGTATGACACGCAGCCATCAGAAATGATGTTTGTGAAGAGTGTACAGTAACACGGCTGTAATATGCTATGTGAAAAAAGGACATAAAATTGTAAGTGTACTATGTTTACAAGTATATTTAAAAATCCCAAGGCACAGGAAGTCACTGTAAGGAAACAGACCAGGGTCTATATTGCCTTTATTTTTTCAAAATTCCTTTAGCTCTATTACCTTTATAATTGGAATGAGAAACAAAAAGCAAGATTTTGCCACAGAGAAGCAAACCCTTTTTTTCCCCCTTGATTTGCCTCAGTTTTGTTTTGTATTAGCAAGTTTTTACCTTAGAGGAAAAATTAGGTAAGTTTTAAACTTAACTAGAAACTGGATAAATCTAAAGCATTAGAGTCTTCTGTGATCTGGATTTTGTAACTACATTTAAAAAATCTCTCAGAGATGCAAAATAAGTAACATTATTGGAAACGGAAACTTAATCTAGCAGGTATTAAAGAAGGATTCAGTCTCTGTGGAGCCTAAAACATGCCATTTTATGGCCTTTATTGATATAAATTAAAATCTTTCCAAATGCAAGAGAGAACACTATTTCATGTAAAAACATGATTTAGGTTAAATCTCTGAAGAGATTTTGACCTTGAGCCAAGACACACAAAAGTTTTAAAATAAAAATACTGTTTCTATCATACATATTATGCCTTTAAGAATCAAAAGATAAAAGAATAAAAATCATGTTCATATAACATAGATTTTCTCTAGATGAACTTATTCTGTCCCAGAAAATTACATCTTAATATGTATAATATAGCGATGAAAGTTCAGATTTTCTAATATTTCAATAAAGATTTGGGATAGAGGCACTTCTATTTTAAATAACTCATACATTTTTTAGTGTAATTTTTTTACTCACTTTTATAATAATAAAAATGAGCTAGGACTCCATTTTTTATTTTTATCAGTAACTAAGTGTTTCTAGCCATCTCCTGAAGAGCTGTGTAAGAAGCAAATACCGTAATGGGCCACATGCTATTTCTATTGAAAAAGCTGTGCGCTTATCAAACCCTGTGGCTATAGAAATGGCAATTAAACTTTAAACATGGCGAGAGGTTTTTGTTAAGAATTCCTTGTTAAGAGTTCAGGCTCTGGAGCTAAGTTGTCTGGGTTCAAATTCCTGCTCCAACCCTTCCCAGCTCGGTGACCTTATGCCAAGCTACTGAGCCTCATGGTGCCCCATTTCCTCAAATGTGAAACGTGGATAATAATAGTAGGTGCCTCATAATTAAATGTGCAATCTAAGCTGTAAGTTGCAAATTGCTCAGATCGAGGCCTGGCATCATTTTATATGCATGTATGTATATATAATGTAATGAATAAATTAACTTTAATGATCATGCAGGTGATGCTTTCAAAGTAAGGCTGCATCTAGGAAGGTGTTGACAACTGAGTTTCACTAAGGCTGCCTTTACTTTATGTGATATAGAAAAAAAAATTTCTTTTATGACCTGCCTCTATTAAAAAACATATGGTCATTCTAATTTGATCAAAATCACCAGCTAAATGAAGCTGGAAGTATTCGAATCACAAATGCTGTTCTTCAGAGGCATGTGGCGGACCGAGCATGAGGTCACATTGAAGCTGTGTCAATGCTGCGAAAGCAGGCTTGTCTCCTGAAATATTTTGATGATATCAGAAGGAAAAAGATGGAAGGGGTGTACATTAGGATCGGAATTTATAAAAAAAAAATGGAAGGAAGAAATTAGAGATGATAGTTAGTAGTCCTGGGATGGAACTATGGCTGGTGGCTTTGGTCCTGGGCTCGAGCATTGTACTCAGGAAAGAACCTTCCGGACTCTTGGGGAGTGTCCTGAACAGTGGCAGGGCAGTCTGTGAACACCTGAACAGGCTCAGAAACTTCACTCACTCTCAACTTCCTCACCCTGCACATATGACTGGGTGTTGGCAGCAGATGGAGCTCCTTGCTCCTATAATATAGCAGATTTTTTGGACAGTTGTGGACCAGATGACACATTTCTAAAAACAAACCATCAGCTACTGTCAGGAGTCACCGGGGCATCCTTGGTATGTGAGTAACCAAAGATAGTCATGCCAAGTCCAGCTATGATGGTTTAGACTTGTACCTATTTGCCAATAGTTCTTGGACTACTCATAGGACGCAACACATATTTTGTGCCGACTCACTTCTACACCATCCACTCAGGTTTCAAACTGGTGTTCCTTAAAATACCAGGGACCTCCAGTTGTTCTATGAGTAAATAAGTTTGAAAAATTCTACATATATTCCTCTCCTGGAGAATTACCATTGACATGACTGTTTAGAAGTAGCAGTGTTTCCCAAACTTAATTGTAACCACATAATAAGGCTGATGAGTCGCCATTAGAACTCATGTTTAGAAAATGAATACTTGACCCTTAACCTCAGGATTTGTTCTGAGAATGAAAACAGATAATCCACATAGTTTTCAGTGTCCCAAACGCAACAAGAGCTCACCAGAGGTTAACTATGATTATTATTAATAACAACTTCTCTGTAAATCAACTCAGCTAATGGTCCTGCTGGAACCTGAATGACACACACATAGGAAGACTGGCCCTGGGTGACACGGTGGGGAGTGTTCTTTCTCTTCCACATTCAGGACCAGCAGAAGAGGCAAATGAGGCAACGTAAGCACAGGATGACTGGCCACAGCTGATGACCTAAAGGGCCCTTTGGGGCATGGGGTCCAGAACAGCAGGGCAGGAAGCCACAGGGGTGTATGCCAGCAGAACTTCGATACAACATGCTGGTTCCTGTGGGGCCCTCGGGGTTGGTATGATGTCTCACTGGACAGAGCCCAGGCTGTCATCTGAATTCCAGCATTCCTCACCTTGACCTCTTAGCTCCCTGGTGCCAGTTAGTCTGAAGTCCCAAGATCTTGCGGCCCTGACACAGGTCCTGGTACCTACCTACCTTGTTTTCCAAAACCTCCGATGGGTAAGCAACAGTCTTTTAGCCCCAAATGACATGCCTCAAACACTGTGAATCCACAGGAAACTGCCCACTTGTCTGCTGCCCTGAGTCCTTCCAGAAAACAGCTGCACTCTGGCAAAAGCCCCAAAACTACCTGACAAGCTTGTGAGGAGAAGGCGCACGTGTGTGGGGCTGGTGGAAGCTTAGGAGTGTCACTGCTTTGGGCTGGCTTGCTCGGTTGTAGGCAATGCTACCCTGATGGTAGGTTTTATGCATAATGCATTTGTATTTTAGTTTCTCTGCACACATAAAACAATGGGCATTTTTTCATTATAAGAAAAACACTGTTCCAAATATAGTATTAAAATAGGTTAAATAAGTGAAAATTTATAGACACAAATGTATTACTGTATAT